GTTCATGTTGTAGCATATATAAGTACTTCATTCTTTTCATGGCTGAATAATATTTCATTTTATGTATATACCACAATTTGTTTATTTATCCATTTATCCACTGATGGACATTCAGTTTGGTTCTACCTTTTAGCTATAATGAATGGTGCTGCTATGACCATGCATATACAGGGATTTGTTTCAGTGCCCGTTTAATTTTCTGAGGAACCACCAAATGGTTTTCCACTCAGGCTGCACTATTTTCCATTTCCATCTGCAATTTATGAGGGTTCCATTTTCTGCACATCCTAACCAACAGTTGTTATTTTCCATGTTTTTGAGTTTTTAAAATCATATCTATCCCAGTGGGTGTGAAGTGGTGTCTCATTATAGTTTTAATTTGCATTTCTCTAATGACTATTTATATTAAGCATCTTTTCATGTGCTTGTTGGCCATTTGTATATTTTCTTCAAACAAATGTTTATCCAAGTGTTTTGCCCATTTTTAAATTGGGTTGTCTTTTTATTAAGAATTTTTTATTTATTGTGGATACTAGACCCTTATCAGATAAAGGATTTGCAAATATTTTCTCCTGTTCTGTAAATTGTCTTTTTACTTTCTTGATCATTTCCATTGATGTGCAAAAGTTTTTAATTTTGATGATGTCCAATTTATCTATTTTTTCTTTTGTTGCACATAATTTTGTTCTCATACTTGAGAATCTATTGCCAAATCCAGGATTGTGAAGACTTACCCTTATGTTTTCTTCTGAGAGTTTTATGGTTTTAGTTAATATACTGAGAATTGTCTTTTTACTTTCTTGATCATTTCCATTGATGTGCAAAAGTTTTTAATTTTAATGATGTCCAATTTATCTATTTTTTCTTTTGTTGCACATAATTTTGTTCTCATACTTGAGAATCTATTGCCAAATCCAGGGTTGTGAAGACTTACCCTTATGTTTTCTTCTGAGAGTTTTATGGTTTTAGTTAATATACTGAGGTCATCAGTCAGTTTTGAACTAATTTTTGTATATGATGTGAGATAAGGGTTCAACTTCATCATTTTGCATGCAGATATTCAATTGTTCCAGCACTAGTTATGGAAGAGAATGTTATTTTCCATTGAATTGTCTTGGCACTCTTGTTGAAAATCCATCAACCACAGATGTATAAGTTTATTTCTGGACTCTGTTATTTTCCATTTGTCTATACATCTATTTTTATGCCAGTGCCACACTATTTTAATTACTATTGCTTTGTAGTAAGTTTTAAAGCCACAAAGTATGAATCCTCCAACTTGGTACTTCTTTTTCATTATTGTTTTGGCTGTTTGGGGCCTCTTGCAATTCCATATGAATTTGAGAATTCCTTTTTTTTTTTTTGCAGAAATGGAAAAGAAAAGGCCATTGGAATTTTACTAGGAATTGCATTATATCTGTAGGTTGCTTCGGGTAGTATTGCCATCTTAACAATATCAAGTCTTCGGCGGGTAGTATTGCCATCTTAACAATATCAAGTCTTCTAATACATGAACATGGAGTTTTCTTCCATATATTTAGGTCCACTTTAATTTCTTTCAGCAATGTTTTGTAGTTTTCAATATACAAGTCTTTCATTTCCTTGGTTAAAGTTATTAATAAATGTTATATTCTTTTGGATGCTATTATAATTGGAATTGTTTTCTTGATTTCATTATGAAATTGCTCATTGCTGGTATATACAAAACTGAACTTTGTTGATATTGTACTGTGCAACTTTGCTCAGAGTTTATTTAACTCTTGTAGTTTTATTGTGGATTCTTTGGGATTTATATTTATTATTTTTGTTTCCTGACTGTTGTAATGTATGTGTGGTCTTTGCTTAGGAGTCAGGATGTAAAACTATATGTGATTTTTTGTTTGTAATCTCCTAAGTAATTTTCCTTCCATACTTATTCCCTTGCAGTATGTTCTTCACATAAAAGCTAGAACAGCCCTTTAAAATCATTAATCAGGTTTTTTCATTTATGTGCAAAACCTTCCACTGGTTTATTCATTAGAGTAAAAGCTTAAGACTTGACAAGGTACTACAAAGCCCTGTCTGATCTGTCACTGGCCAACTCTTTGCCACTTTACCTCTTCTTCATTGCAGTAACAGTGGCCTTGTCCTTCTTCTTGTCCTGGAGCAATCTATCTTAGGGACCTTCATGCTTTCCTTCTACCTAGATTCCTATTCCTCTGGATATTCTGATGGTTCATTCTCTGTTTCCTTAAGGTGTCTGCAAATGTCATCTCCTGAGAGTCTTCCCCTAAAATAGCACCTAACTTCATTCTTTATCTTCTTACCCTACTTTATTTTTTCTTCAAACCCCTTATCACTATCTGACATTATGCAGGATAGAAGTTTCCTGAAGGTAGGTATTTTGTCTGTTGTTCACTACTGAATCCCTAGCTCTTAGAATGGTGTCACATTGAGGGGGAAGCATAAAGAATAAGTGTGATTTGTAACAATGAATATGCTAATAAAAAATTCAAAAAATAAAAAAAGATTGGTGTCACATGTAATAGACACCTAATAAATATTTACTGAATGAATGAATAAATGAAGTTTCCTTAAGTGAAAGGAAAAGAAGACTAATATAAACTGAATTACTCATAATGGGCCAAACATTGTTTTAGGCATTTGATATATGTTATTCACATTTAATCTTCTTGAGGATATGTATTATCGCCATTGATCAGTAAGAAAACTGAAACTTAGAAAAAATAAACAATTCACCCTAGCTAGTATTTGAAATCTGGTCTGTAGTACTTGATTCCAAAGCAAAGGCTTTTTCCACCCTGTTATTTTTAAATTATTAAATATTCCATGTATTGTAGAGAATATAAATATAGATAATAAATGATTTAAATTGAGCATATAAATTAGTACATAATTAATTTCAAATGAATGGTACTAATAAATTTTATTCTTGTTTGGAAAATCATTAGGCCAAATTGAAATATTTGGCACACAGTAGGCTCAAAATCAGTCATGTGGATTCACCAAATTTATGAACAGGTGAGGGTCTAGCTTTTAAATCTGATGGAGAGAAAGAGCTAGGGCATTTTAGGTACAGGGTGCAACATGAGCAAATGTGCTACACAAACTTGTTAAAAGGATAATAGAATTCTTGAAGAGCTGAGAATTAATGTTAGGGGTGCTGTGACATGTTTGAGAAAGGTGAGTTGGAGATTAGATTGTGATGAATTTCAGTTGCCTGGCTAAAGTGTTTCAATGTTATACTGTAATTATTGGGGAGTTATAGAATAATGATGATACTGAACATTTTTATGGGCTTATGGGCAATAGAATGTGTGAGCTTTGGAGCAAAACTGCCTGGGTTCAAACCCTGGCTCTGTCTTATACTAGCTCAGTAACCTTGAGCAAATTACTTTACCTCTTAGTGCTCTAGTTTCCTCATCAGTCAAATGGAGAAAACAGTTTTTAACTTACAGAGCCATTATGATGATTAAATGAACTATTATTATATGCAGAAATACTGAAAACAATGGTTAGCACATAATAAGCATTCTATAAATATTAAGCTTTATCATTTATATCGCATTTGAATTTTCACATTGCTTTCATGTGTACTATTTCTTTTAATTTTTGCAGCAGCTCTGTGAGGTAGGTATTAATATATCCAGTTTAACGATAGAGAAAACAAAGCCAAAGAGGATGTGTCATGCCCGACAGCAATCCCCAGCTGACAAAACTGATCATATGATATTCTAAGCTATTTCACCACAACTCTTTATAATCTAAGAAACTAATGGAATAACATGCTAAAATATAAGTTTTAGGAAAATTATTCTAGTGGCATTTTACAGAGTAAAATTAAGAAGGAAAGAACTTGCAGGCAAGTTCATCAGGCTTCTAAAATAATCTATGTTTAGGTTTTATTTATGAAAAATTCCTATTCCAGGGCTCTGTCATTGAGAATGAAAAGATAATTAAAGGAGACATTATGGATTCTACAACTAACCAATAAATTATTTTTTTTCAGCTGTATTTAAACTTGAAACAGATAGAAATATTTGGCCCTTGATAAGAATCTATCGGGGTGGCTTTCTTCTGATTGAATTCCTTTTCCTACTGGGCATCAACACGTATGGCTGGAGACAGGCTGGAGTAAATCATGTGCTCATCTTTGAACTTAATCCGAGAAGCAATTTGTCTCATCAACATCTCTTTGAGGTAATCAAAGCAAGACATAAAGTCCCTTGAATATAGTTTGCATTAGCTATATAAGCTGGTTTAGTGGGGATTGAAATCCGTCTTCTACTTAAAGAAAATTATTGGCTTAATAACCATTTTTCTTAAATTTGTTTTTATTAAAAATATTTCTGAGTAATGGTAAAAATAAAATAAGTTTTTCTTTTTGTCTTCTTTATCCTTTGCTAGATTGCTGGATTCCTTGGGATTTTGTGGTGCCTGAGCCTTCTGGCATGCTTCTTTGCTCCAATTAGTGTCATCCCCACATATGTTTATCCACTTGCCCTTTATGGATTTATGGTTTTCTTTCTTATCAACCCGACCAAAACTTTCTATTATAAATCCCGGTTTTGGCTGCTTAAACTGCTGGTAAGTCCAGAAAGTTACGTACCATTTTTAGAGTCATATACTCACCGTTAGTTTCCTCTAAGATAAAACCACAGCCGCTAGGCTATACAACTACATATGGCATTGTTCACATTGTAGTTTATGTGAATGGTGCCCCAGCTTCAGAGAAAAGCATTCGTGCATTTTTTTTCCTACTAAAACAAGTTAAGATGTGGCCAGATATTGAAGTGGTTTTGAAAATTGTAATTATTTATTACTTCATTATACAAATTATTTAACCAGCTGTGATAACATGTAAAAATGTTTCCTTTTTTAAAAAAAGTTGTAAAACTATTGTTATTTTCCTATTAAATTGATGTGAATGTCGACCAAACTGCATTTTCAGATTGGATCTCTAAAAGCAGTAGGAATATCTTGCCAGATCACCAAATTTAATTTGAGAAACTGACTTTGATTCTTGTTTATAATAGATTGCATTTCTTCTTCCACTTTACCTGTTTCTTAATGATCTCAAAATCATTCAGTGTCAGCAATAGGATATAGAAATTTCTGCAAAAGTAAAAAGCTTTATCCTGTAAAGACAACTCTGGGGGAAGACTTCTGCTTACTCCTAACTTAAGCCAGCTCTATTTTGAAAACCAATTGAGAATGCTTTCATATAATTATTTTTTAGATTTTTAATTGTAACTAATAATAGAGTGAAGATTAGTGACTAAATTGACCAATCTCTATACAAACTTTCAGAATTGCCATAATTATTTTCTCACCTCTTTTTCACCTTATAAGTGTACCTTCTTGAAAACTGTAGGTTTTGTTACTTTTTCCTTTTGTATGACTCTTATGGTTAGCAGAGTTTTTTTGTTCTTAGAAATACGTAACTAAATTTTAAAAATTTAAATACATAAAATAAGGCTTTTCTATTAAAAAAACAAACAAACATAGTAAGCACTCAACAAATAAAAGGCAATTTATGTTCCAACTCAGGTAAGTATAGCAATTAGGAAAAGAAAATGGCCTAAATCACCTTGATTTTTCTTTTTCAAAGTTGATTGTTTTTTATTTGTGTTTCTCGTGGGAATTTCACCAAGATTTTTATTTCAAATTGAGAATCTCTCTTTTCGTTTTAATTCTGTTTAAAATAAAAAAGCGCAGGACTGGCCAGTTAGCTCAGTTGGTTAGAGCACAGCCTTGTAACACCAAGGTCAAGGATTTAGTTCCCCATACCAGCCAGCTGCTAAAAAAACAAAACAAAAATAAAATAAAAAAGCATAAATCATTCCCTTTAAGTATAACATCACTAGGCCTAACTTTGGGTTTGACCTCTGAGTGTGGAACTTCAATGTATATGAATATTTTGATCAGTCTATACCATCACCTTGAATGTTTTGTCATCACCTAGCAAACGTGATTTTTAGACAGGGTTGTTTTTGTTTTTGAAAACAGAAGAAAAATTCGGGCCATTTGAGAGAAGAGAAATCTTTCTTGAGATTGATTCTAAAAAATAAATCATTGCCAGATAGTACAATATTAGATTACCTTTCTTATTTGAGATTATCTGTCATTTTATTAATAGATTTTATAAAGTTTTTAAGCTGTGTTACTTACATTAAAAATGTAACATTCTTCTGGTTACAAGAAAATACCTTTAAGAGTATAAGCATCTATTGTTTTCTGCCTCAATTAATGTGAATTCTTTATAAAGTTACTTTTAAATGAGATTTTGAAAGACTCAGTTCTGGTGTTACTATGATTGCATCATTGCAATAACAGGATAATACTCACATAGTTGTGTACATTGTGTGCTAATTGAGCATTTCCCCAGTGCATCCTTCTTTGTTTAAATAGCAAGCTGTGATTCATGCATGACCAGTTACTCTTATTAGCAGAAAGATTCCCCATGGATTAGGCATTTATCTATGCATATGCTGTGTGTTTGTTAGTAAATGAAGACTTGTTGATGGAATAGATTGGCAGTGGTGATATAATAAGCAAGAATAATAGAATAATAAAATGCACTATCAGAAGCAGTTAAACACGGAAAGCATTGTGGTTTGTTATTTTTGTAATAATAGTTATAAACAGGAGAAATGTCATTTATAGATCATTTTAATATTAATTGACCTGTTGACTTATTTTAATTCAAATTTCACTGAGAAAATTTGCCTCTAGACTTATTTTTAGTGAATTAACAAGAATATTTCCACTCTAGTTATATATTTCTGATACAGCTTTTGTAATGCCTTGTCCGAAAATAAAACTACATTTCCTTCTTTCTTTTTTTTAATTATCAGTGGGAAAAGCACATATGCCACTTGGCCATAGTGGTAGACACTGGGTGCCATTTATATCCATATGTATATTAGAATCTATGCCACCCCCCCAAATTTTTAAATAAGAAATTGATTTATTTTGATATGATATATACATCAGATTAGTGCAGGTTATTTACACCCATTACATCATATGTCCTCTCTCCAAATCTGTATTTGCTCCAGTTGGAAACCCAATTAGGAAGCATAAACCATGCGTCAGATTTTCTAAAAAATATCAATTTAGGGCCAAGCCCGTGGCGCACTCAGGAGAGTGCGGCGCTGGGAGCGCAGCAGTGCTCCCGCTGTGGGTTCGGATCCTACATAGGGATGACTGGTGCGCTCACAGCACTCTCAGATTTTCTAAAAAATATCAATTTAGGGCCGAGCCCGTGGCGCACTCAGGAGAGTGCGGCGCTGGGAGCTCAGCAGTGCTCCCGCTGTGGGTTCGGATCCTACATAGGGATGACTGGTGCGCTCACAGCACTCACTGGCTGAGCGTGGTACAGCCGGTCTCAAAAAAAGGACAAAAAAAAGAAAAAAAAGAAAAATCAATTTATTCTTACACTAGGCTAATTAGTTTTTAAATTATAGTTATTTGTTATATAATTTAGAAATCGGTTTTTAAACCAATATTTTCTTTATAGTAAAATTTTTACCTGTTTCTATTATGAGAATAGAGAGATACGTTCATTTAATAGTGTATTTTTTATGTATTAATTTGTTTAATCTTTTTCATAACCCATGAGGTTGGAGCTGCTACTAATTCCCATTTTATGAATGAGGAAACCTACATTCAGAGAAGTTTACTAACTTGCCTAAGTTCACATAGCCAGTAAGTAATGGAAATGGGATATGAACCCAGGCAGTCTGGCTTCATAATCTGTATTCTTAAACACTAACACTTAACAGTTAGAACTATTAGTCACTTTATGTAAGATGTTTAACTTTGATCTAGTGGATCAAACTAGTAGAAAAATCAGATTTGGAAAGGATGTGTTTATTTACAAGTCTCTAAGAAATAGAAATTAAAACTTCATCATCTTAGCTGTTTATCTGTATTAACTTAGAAGACGATGTTAACATATTCTTTGTAATAACTTGTTAGTGGCTTTTTTTGTGTACGTGGTAAAATGAGATATCCATAATTGTCTCTAGCTTTCATAGTACTGTTGCTGCAGGAATTATCATTTTAATTGAACTCTCAAGGTACAAGTGAAGAAGTTGAAAGGCCTTAGCCAGAACAAAAAGGAGGGGTGAGTTACAGGATTCTCACTCAGAAGGGGAATTCAGATAAATCTAGAATGAATTTGACTGTATGTAAATGTCAGAGAGTTAAGTATAATCTGTTTATTTTCTCCCTCTCACCCTACCTCTGACAGAGGTACTTCTTCCCTTCTCTGTATTTCCAGGGTATTTTGTATGTATCTCTGTAATAGTACCTACCATAGGGTTCTATAATTATATCTGTTGGTATGTATTTGCCCAACTAGACTTTAGGTCTTTGAGGGTAGAGACTATGTTTATTTATCTTTGTACCTCCACAATGCTTTACATATGGTAAATACTTAATAAATCTTTGTTAAATGCACAAATAACTATATATTCTTTTCTTCATTAGTTGTATTATACCAACATTTACTACTCCCTCATTTCCTTTTTTCTTTTTTTAGCTTCTCTTCTGTAAATTTTCCCTTCCTCTCAGTTTCTTTTTATTTTCATGCCACTCCCATCCTTTGCCAGTCCCATCCCTTCATCCCTTTGTTTCTTGTTTAATGCATTATCTTCTTTTTCCACTCTTATGGTGAGTTTCTGTGTGATCCAGGTTTTGAGGATGGGGTTGGAAGATTATAAGAGTAATGATAGTCTGTCTCATATTAGTTAGAAAGAAGAAATTTGCCCTAGGCTACCAATTTTACAAAAGTCCATGACTAGAGATTGAGTTAGACTTCCTGATCCTTTGGTATTATATACTAAATTATCCCCTTATCTCTGTCTCTTTGAATCTTTTAATTCCATTCTGCAGCCTAGAGTTTCTTAAAATATTACAAAAACTGGCACCAGAACCCCTTCCAGCATAGATGACTAACCTCCCACTCCACCCTCACTCCCCCCAAAAGAGTTGGCTGTATCTGGAGCTTATGGTTGCAGATGGTATAACTTTTCTCTCTGGTTTATTGGACTCGCTGAAAGAGTATGGGAGTGATCAAGAGATTGAGCCATGGAACCAAAATATATCAGCTCTGGAAAATAATGTCTCAAAGCCTACATTATATCTCACAGCTACCTGGTCTAGCTTCCAAAATTCCAAGACAGTATCTGTCATAAATAGTTGACACCAAGGATTGATTCATAATATAGCTATTTATCTCCCAGATATAATAAAGAGAAATATTTAGAGAAAAAAATAGAAAGAACCAGACAAGTCTGAGAGGAGAGAGTCATAGGCTTGCAGGTTGAATATTTTTATTTAATGAATTTAGTTGTAATGGTTGGGGATCAGGAGATTTAAACTCATTTTCTCAAAATTTCTGCTTAGAATTCCTTGTTTCAGGAGTCCATTTTCTCCTAAGAAGGGGAAAGAAGGGTCTGACAGGATGAAAATTAAAGCTGCCTTCATCCCATCTTATTTCACACAAGGCTTATCAAAGCAGTCTACACAGTTTGAGACTATTTCTGGTGATTGTGTTAGTATCTACTTCCCTTCTCTGCAGTGCCAAGATTTCCCTTTGCAGTGATAAACAGGTCAGGATGAGTTTATGTAGGTCTTCTGTAAAATTAGGATGTGAATAGTACCTAGCTCATAGAATTGTTTTGGGAATTGAGTTAATGCCTACATAAATCCTAAAGAAAATACACTTCATGGAATAAGTACTCAAGACATTTAATACATTTTTCATTGTTTTCAGAACAGTGGAAAAAGGTCTGATTTTTGTGGTATATAATTTCAAGATGAACACAATCATCACCATGGCATTAGTGAAATGAAAGTGACTTTGGTTAGAGAATAAGGATTGCTTAAAAGGTATCATCCTTCCCTACCTATCTTCTGTAAGCAAAGAAGAGCACTGGATTTAGTTAGCTATGATGGGAGAACATTCCAGAAATTATCATAGCACTTGCCTCTCCAGCAAAGTTTACTTAGAGCGTAACTTTAAACTTCTCAGTGTGTCTACCTTCTGCTGCTCTCTCTGCTTTCAACTGCAACTCTTCTACCTCTTTTCTAACTAGCTATTCCTGCATTTTCCCTCTTTGTTTTCTTTCCTAGTTATCCATGCAATTCATTTCCTTCAGTTCTAATTCCCAACCTAGCCACTGTTGTCAGGTCACCGTGTTTGTCTGTGACTGGTTCATTGGTTTCCGTTTTATCAGCTCCAGCAATCACATTGAATGGTCAGACAGGAATTAGAAAAATTTAATATGACTTTTCTTGTTTCTATGTTTTCTGATTTTTTTTCTTTCTCTCAGTTTCGAGTATTTACAGCCCCCTTCCATAAGGTAGGCTTTGCTGATTTCTGGCTGGCCGATCAGCTGAACAGCCTGTCAGTGATACTGATGGACCTGGAATATATGATCTGCTTCTACAGTTTGGAGCTCAAATGGGAGGAAAATAGGGGCCTGTTGCCAAATAATTCAGAAGGTAGGGTACGAATTTGCATCTACACTACTAAATTGCCAGCATAACCAAGAAATATTGGGAATGATAACTGAGAAAGTTAAGGTCGTGGTGAAAATTCATCCAATAATATTATAAATTTAATTAAACGTACTTGGCACTCTGTTAGCAATTTCTTTATCTGATATAATTTGGCTTGTAAATTATGTTATGATTTTAGCTATCCACTTGCCAAGAGACTTGTAACTTCCACTTAAAGAATTCTAAAATTATTTTTTTAAAAACTTATAGTATGTTGGTAGTTGTATCACAAATGTTTTAGTGCCAACAATTTGTCATCATAGTATTGCTCTATAATGTTATAACTAATATAGATACCAATGATCAAAAATACTGGTTATTTAGAATCAGATCCAGTGCTTTTAGAAAGTCATTAAACATTGCTTTTTAATTCTTATTTGAGACCTTGTTTTTCTTCTGGCTCTTTTTCCCACTCTAAGTTTATGCCATGAGTTTAAATTATTAAGGAATTTTGCCCTCATGACAAAGATCTTATTTAGACATATTATGTAACACCTGACTAACAAAAGTTAATGGTGAAGCCAGGACACATTTTAATTGTTTGCTAACCGATCACAACTCTGCTGTAGGTTGATCACACTATAGTATATAACCAAACTTCAAAGAAAAATTGATTTACCAACTCTATTCTTCTCATTTGAAAACACAATACATTCTTGGTTTTAAAAAAAAAATACAAGAGCATGTGCTCTTGGGTGTATTATTTTATAGTGGTTTGGAGTTGTGAAATTGTCCAGTCACCCATGATACTTTTTTTTCCAGATGTTTCAATTTACCAGAGCCAACCATTTTTCCCCTCTTTGATTAGTATCCTCATCTTCTAATTTTCTTATAGTTTTATCACACTCCAAAGAAAGTGATTCCAGACAGATACCCAGAAATCTGAGAGGTCAGATTTTTTCCACTCACCCCCCTATATACAAGTATTTTACCTTCTTTCCTTGGCGTATCTACCACTAAAAAGCTTAAGAATAGTTGCAAAGAAGAAAGTGATTCTGAAATCCAGGCTTCTTGCTTTCATGGATTTGCTAGTGGTTATACTCGATGGCTAAATGACGTATACAAGTATTTTACCTTCTTTCCTTGGCGTATCTACCACTAAAAAGCTTAAGAATAGTTGCAAAGAAGAAAGTGATTCCGAAATCCAGGCTTCTTGCTTTCATGGATTTGCTAGTGGTTATACTCGATGGCTAAATGACGTGAACAAGTTATTTTTTTTTAATTGTAATTTTTTTCTTTTGAAATCTTCACAGAACCAGGAATTTGCCACAAATATACATATGGTGTGCGGGCCATTGTTCAGTGCATTCCTGCTTGGCTTCGCTTCATCCAGTGCCTGCGCCGTTACAGAGACACAAAAAGGGCCTTTCCTCATTTAGTTAATGCTGGCAAATACTCCACAACTTTCTTCATGGTGACGTTTGCAGCCCTTCACAGCACTCACAAAGGTATTCTATGATTGACTGTGAAGAGAGTTTTCAAAACCTGGATTTTTAGTACTGAATCTGTTTCTTGCTCTGATTACTTTTACATTTGTGGTGCTTTTTTTTCCTACAAAAGTTCTAATTCCCTCAGTTATACCAGTTTGTTCTAGAACACAATTTTAGTCTCATTCTAATGTTTACTGACAAGTACCATTGAAAAGAAGCACAGTCACCCAGAATAGGAATAATTTGTGATAATGCTTGAAATCCTGAATTATGTTTAAATAGGTTCAATCTATGGACACCTTGGGTTTTCATTTGTTTTTTTAGAACTTCCTTGTTCATTAATAAGGTTGGAAAATGGCTGAGTGAAAAAGATTCCCTCTGGCAATCAAGTATATTTTTTAATCGCTTTCCTTCACCAAGTGGTAAGGATTGTTTCCAGCCCATTTAACTGCAAATTGAGTTCGCTGATTCCTCTAGTTTCTCATCTCCATAGCAACCTGTTATTACTTGAGACTGCTTTTCTGTTGGGAAGAGAAAAAAGCTTTTAAGTTCTGTGCCACATGTAGTCACTCCTTTTGAATTTTTAACCTTTCCAAGAGCTGTCAATCAACGATCACACTTACTAAAATGCATTCTTTGTCTATTTAAGTCAGTATCAGCCCACACCTTAGATGTTGCACTTCCTCATCCATAGGTGGTAAAAAAAAAAAAATGCTACTAATTGAAATTATTATAGTTATCATTAAATACTTTGGTAAAGCTTTTTTCATTGATTTTTTAATTTTAGGAGCCTTAGCCACTGCTACAAAATTGCTACTTATCTAAAGTGTGTCTGATGGTCATGAAAGATTAAGGCATTGCTTTAGTAAGCCTTAAGATTTGGTCCATCAGAACATATTATAACATATTCCCACTTTTTGCAGTGGATTCTGTGGTTAGAGTAGTACTGATAATGTAGGCCACTCTTGTTAAATGATATAATTTAGCTAAGTACCTCAGTGAAGGAAACACATCCCCAAAGCTCCCATAACTTTAACTCTTTCTGAGGAATGCTATCATTCAGCCCGGGCATGCATCATGATTCAGAAGATTGTTATTAGAGGATTTATAAATCAGGCTACTGATTTGATACATGGTATTTTATGACTCCTGTTACTAAATTATCAAGTACTCTTTTCTTTCATCTCAGGTAAGAATGAGTACTGTTCTTCTGGTTGAATATTTTAAAACATAATGTATCACTAAATATATGCAGGTAATCTAAATAAAAATCATTTTTATACTTATGATTTATTTTAAATGAAGCAATTCAGTAATAGTTAGAAAATTTACATCTCTTCCTATTGAACTATATTTTAATGTAATATATTTTTGTCTTAATGACTTGTCTGCTACATATATATATATAAATTGAAATTAAATTATTATTTATTTCCTGTCACTATAAGGAGCTAAGAGATTTTGTTTTCTGGGTTGTAGTTATCATTACCCTCACTATTGTCTACAATTAAATTGATCGAAGCAACGTTACAAATGTATTACAAACTTTAATAAATAATTATTGCACATAACATTTCTTAATGAGAAATTTATATTATTACTATTCCCCTTTTAAAGTTTTATGGAAGTAAACTTTGAGAAACCTTATAGCTATGTAGATGAGAATGGACAGAGTTTTGTTGTTGCAATGTCATCCAATTTTTTGACAAATTATGAGTTAGTCCAAAAAAATTACATGGCAATCTATCATCAATAATTGTGTTTTTTTGTTTGTTTGGGTTCTTTTTGGTTGCTGGCTGGTACAGGGATCTGAACCCTTGACCTTGGTGTTATCAGCACCATGCTCCAACCAAGTGAACTAACTGGCCAGCTCTATAATTATTTTTAGTGATTAAGTTTTCTTTGTTGAAAGCAAAGAGTTGAAAATAAACAATAATACTGTTACTGGGCACAGGTCTGGCTACCTGTCCCCTTTCAAAAGCGAACAACTCAAAAGTTAAATGTTGATGAAAATGGAAGTCAGCCTTAATTCAGGAATACTGGTAACCTGAGAAGAGATGTTAAGCTAACCCATCTATCTCTCCAGTAAACCTGAAGGAGAATGGCCAGACTAAAGCCATCTCAAAGACTCAGGTTTACTGAGGAGTTTTTAAAAAGGGGGCACATGCAAAGTCTTATCAAGACTCCATCTATCATCTTCCATCCTTGCTGGTCCTGGAGGGGTGAAATCAGCATAGCTTTAATGACGTCTTTTTTGGTTTCTCAGGGTCTGGATAGTATGTGCAAGTCTGCAGCTTCAGGCTGACTGGAGAACAACTTTACATTCATGTAAATAATGTCATCTTGCCCTGTAACCAAGATTCAAAATATCATATAACCATGGGAAAAGAGGAAACTCAGAGAAATGCATACCAAGAAAAAAAAACTGTGTCCCTTTAAAATCTTTTAGAGCCTGTGCAGTTTTAGGTCCCAACATGGCTTCAGTCCTGCTCACTCCAACAGTACTTACCTGGCAGAGGAAATACCATGATGACGAAGGTGATTTTCCCAGGGCGAGGCTTATCCATTACACTCCAGATATGCTGACCCTTGTGATTTCCCCAAATATGGGAAACTCAACAGCATAATTTGTGGTGGGGGACTCCCTGAAAAAAAAAAAAGAAAGAAACTGGATAAAGCAAAAACTTGAGCATAAACTAAATGGAAAAGGATTTGTTAACCAATCATTAAAGTCCTTAACTTTTTCATTTTTTGGACAGTAGACCATAATATGACTATTAATTTTAAAGGCCCCTTGTTTAGCTCAGTGTACTCAGAAAATTAAAATATTGTTATTTCAGTACATATTTGCCAATGCAATATTTTTTATCTTATCATATTCTTTAAATATACTTTTGAAAAACATTTTGGGGCCGGCCCATGGCTCACTCGGGAGAGTGTGGTGCTGATAACACCAAGGCCCCAGGTTTGGATCCCACATAGGGATGGCCGGTTCGCTCACTGGCTGAGCATGGTGCTGACATCACCAAGTCAAGGGTTAAGATCCCCTTACCGGTCATCTTTTTTTTAAAAAAAAAAAAAAAAAACATTTTGGAGCTGTAGATTATACTCATCCAGTTTATGGAGAATATCTGTGATGTACCTATAAGGAAGGAAAAGCTTTTTCCTCTACTCTCTTAGATTAAGTGACAGGGACCCTGGAAATTAAATTGACAAAAGATAGATTAACAGGAGAAAAGGTTTATTATGTATACAGAGGCCTTCTTAGAAAAGAAGTGAAGATCCAAAGAAGTGGTTAGACCCAGGGGCTTGTATACCATTTTTACAAAGAGCAATAAATTGTGGGAAAGTAAGTAGAAAAAGGTGAGGAGGGAGAAGGATTATATATCTAGGAACAGTAAATTGTGGGAACATAAATATATGAAAAAACTAATGGAAGAAAAAGGTTTTTAGTAAGGTTTGTTATGCAACTTCAAGTGAGTACCTTCTCCATTGGTAAGAGTCATCTCCCGTGTTTAAGAGTTGTCTTCCTCTTCCTGGTATGGGAGAGAGAGACACCTTTACAAAGGGAATTTATTCCCTGCTTTTAGACAGGAAGCGGGTGGGAGGACAGAGATTTCAGTGTCTGCTGTTTCTCAGTTGCCTTCAGCGGAAACAATTTTTTATGCCAAAGTGGCATATTTTGGGGTGGCGTACTCTGATCCTCTTTCTACCCTAATTGGGAAACCAGCCAAACAGGAAAAGTTATGACTTAATATTAACATATTTATATGTACACATACCTCAGAGATATTGCAGGTGGGTTCCAGACCACTGCAATAAAGTGAGTATTGCAATAAATCAAGTCACACAAATTTTCTGGTTTTCTGGTGCATTTAAAAGTTATGTTTGCAGTATTCTGTAGTCTATTAAGAGTACAATAGCATTATGCCTAAAAAAAAACCAATGTACATACCTTTACTTAATAAAAATACTTTATTGCTAAAAATGATGGGAAAATGGCATGGATAGGCTTGCTTGATGCAGGGTAGCCACAAACCTTCAATATGTACAAAAATATCTGTGAAGCGCAATAAAGCAAAGTGCAGTAAAGCGAGATATGCCTGTACATCCTTGTGTAAACACCTCACTCCTTAATTCTGAGCTAAATGAGTAAGTAGGTAGACAGACAGAAAAACAAGCAGAGAAATCATGCATTTATCAAGTATTTATTAAGAACATTCTATGTAACAGATTGTGCCAGGCACTAAAAATATTGTAACAAAATGCAATTCTTGTTCTAAAAAATTTATGATGTAGTAGGGGAAATAGACAAGTAAAAGGCATTAGTTGGCTGTGCAACAGCGTGAATATATTTAACACTACTAAACTATACACAGAGATGATTAAAATGGTAAATCGTATTGGTTTTTTGGTTTTGTTTTGTTTTTAACCAACTTTTTAAAAAAGACTTTAGAGTGTAAAGAGATAAGCAGGTTACCAGAAAAGCCCATAGCAGAAGTCACTAACCAACCTTAGGGTGAGAAGTTTAGACTTCCCTAAAGTGACATCTAATCTACATCCTATTGTTTATATCAAGTTAGGGATTCTAGTTATCCTATTATGTGCCTTGCCCAAGGCTATATAATATATGAGTGGTGGAAGTGATACTATTTCCCAGTTGTTCTTCAGCCTTGGGCTCTTTTTTTCAAATAAAGCTACATCTGTAAAGTAGAGATAAAACTTATTGTCTTTACTTCACAGTTTTGTTGTAAGGATTAAATAAGGGAGTACATGTGTGAAATCACTTTATAGACTCTAACATGCTACACACATGGAATTTATGGTTAAATCAAACGTAGTTCTCTTTGCTGACTAGAGCTAGTACATGTATGTCTTCCTTTAAGAGTTTTTTTAAGGGAAACCCTATGACTGCCTTGGTTCAGGGGTAGCATAGGGCAAGTATTAATCAGGAATGTATTTGGCTTTTTGCCCAAGTAACATAGCTGTTTACTCACTGAACGTGCTTCATGTGCCCA